ACTATTCTGACCTATTTGAACTGAGCTGGGAAGACAAAGTGAAACTAAACTCAACTTGTTTTTTATGGCCATAAGTCCTAAAACCATAAGAATATTAAGTATATATTCAGTAAAACTAAAATAAAGGGGGGAAATGCTACTCACTGTAACATTTCTTAGAAACGGCAAGGAGCTGGTTGAAGCTGTTCTATGTTATTGTTTGGAAACACTATGAAACTGTGTTATGTTGTTCCACGTTGAGACCAACTTCTGATCTATGGAAAAGATGAAGGAAAGCCACCATCCAGGAAACTACTTTAAATGTATAAAATGTGATTTCCAAAGACTTGAGAAAGAGTATAATATTGTACACTTCACATGAATGAATTTCCTATGGATAATAAAGTATTTCTAATTTCTAATCTAATCTTAAACAACTGGACTCTTTAAATACCAGTATATAGTGAACACTTTTAACATGAAGACAGCTGCCTTCTCCACGTCTGTATCTGTGTTTGAATATTTCCGGAGGAAACTGAAATCTGCACGACTAAACTAACACAAGAATCACATTCAGTTCAGAACATGTTTGTAGACGTCTAAACCACACGGATAACAGCTTTAATGTGTCCTAAGAGACCAAAAAGACTGTAGTTATCCACAGAGGAGTATTGAATAACCTAAATGATTCAGATTGTGTTCTGTTGTCGTGGATGACAGCTGTACTCACCACAGTCAGTGCTCTGGGTGGGTCTGGTGTTGTACTTTGGTCTTTTCTGAGCAGCTCTTGTGTCGACTGTTGGATCAAAATGGTTCTGTGTTTTGAGGAAGTGTGATCATGTGACGTCTGTTGGGTCTGGACTGGTTGTGGGCGTGACCTGCCTCGAGTCACTTTGTGTTTATGATGAAATGAAAGTTATTGCAGGTTTTATTATCATGTGTGTGAGTCCCATCAGATCTTTGCTCCTCCTGATTTAACCTGGTGGATTTGGTTCTATCAGTAAAACTTTTTGTCAAAAATCACTGAAGAGGGGGTATTATGGTAAATGTAGTTTTTTGGAGACAGCATTATTCCCTCTTCAGTAACATGTGTGAAGAGGATTTAGATGTCATCTATGTGTGTTGAGTAATCTTGTGATCTGTCTCAGGCTCTATTCAAACCCTCCTTACAGTCATGTATTTATAAAAACATGACACAAATAGACTACAACTTCACAAACCTGATGCGACGTGCAGTAGTTTCATTAGCGAAGATGCACGCTGAATGTGTTGTGATAGTGCTCTGAAGGGGGAGTGACTTAGTGCAGTGAGCTCAAGGAGGAGGGCTCATCAGAGTGTCAAAAACTAAACTGAAACTTAAAAATGTGAACATTCTTTATGTGAATACAGCATTTTCAAAACAATAAGAAGTAACTCGGTGATCTAAATGTGTTTTGTGTGAGCAGTTAATGCCCCATAGAAGTGTAATACTCCCTCTTTAAAAACAAGACAAATCACTGAACATTATAAATATTTATTCAAGACAAACACAAAAAGAAACTTGAATGTCCATTATTCTTCCACTCTGGTATGTCAAGAATATTCCTTTAATCATCAATTGTGAATATTTCAAAAAGTGTTTATATCACAAAAAAACATCCTTTATCATTCAGAAACTTTGACTTCATAAAATTACAGTTACACACTAGAGCAATAGTGATTGATGCTGAGAATGAAAGAAGCTGTACATGACTTTTACTGTCTGAAAAACATGAAAAACAGAACTGGTTAATTTTTAAACTTTTCACACTGGTCCAAAACTTATTTAGAATCCAAACCTGTTCCTATCAAAGCATCGTAATTATTCACAATGATGAGTTTAAAAGAACTTTATACAACTTTATTTATTTTTCAAGTTTGGGCTGTTAATAAAATGTAGCTTTATTAAATGAAAAAACGCAGGTGTAGAGTCCTTTTAAAGATTTCACTCATGCTGTTAATTATGTCACATCTCTGAATTCCAACTTTCACATGATCCGAAAAAAGGAGAGAGACCAGTGACAATTCAGTATTTAGTCAACCCAAGTACGGCTCAATGATTTGGGAAACATCTGAGAAACATTATGATACGGTTACTGATNATCTTTGCTCCTCCTGATTTAACCTGGTGGATTTGGTTCTATTAGTAAAACTTGTTGTCAAAATCATTAAAGAGGGGGTATTATGGTAAATGTAGTTTTTGGAGACAGCATTATTCCCTCTTCAGTAACATGCGTGAAGAGGATTTAGATGTCATCTATGTGTGTTTGAGTAATCTTGTGATCTGTCTCAGGCTCTATTCAAACCCTCCTTACAGTCATGTATTTATAAAAACATGACACAAAACAATAGACTACAACTTCACAAACCTGATGCGACGTGCAGTAGTTTCATTAGCGAAGATGCACGCTGAATGTGTTGTGATAGTGCTCTGAAGGGGGAGTGACTTAGTGCAGTGAGCTAAGGAGGAGGGGCTCATCAGAGTGTCAAAAACTAAACTGAAACTTAAAAATGTGAACATTCTTTACAGTGAATACAGCATTTTCAAAACAATAAGAAGTAACTCGGTGATCTAAATGTGTTTTGTGTGAGCAGTTAATGCCCCATAGAAGTGTAATACTCCCTCTTTAAAAACAAGACAAATCACTGAACATTATAAATATTTATTCAAGACAAACACAAAAAGAAACTTGAATGTCCATTATTCTTCCACTCTGGGATGTCAAGAATATTCCTTTAATCATCAATTGTGAATATTTCAAAAAGTGTTTATATCACAAAAAAACATCCTTTATCATTCAGAAACTTTGACTTCATAAAATTACAGTTACACACTAGAGCAATAGTGATTGATGCTGAGAATTAAAGAAGCTGTACGTGACTTTTACTGTCTGAAAAACATGAAAAACAGAACTGGTTAATTTTTAAACTTTTCACACTGGTCCAAAACTTATTTAGAATCCAAACCTGTTCCTATCAAAGCATCCTAATTATTCACAATGATGAGTTTAAAAGCACTTTATACAACTTTATTTATTTGTCAAGTTTGTGCTGTTAATAAATGTAGCTTTTATTAAATGAAAAAACGCAGGTGTAGAGTCCCTTTAAAGATTTCACTGTTATTGATCATGCTGTCAGTAATTATGAATCATCATTAAGTTGTGATGTTTTTTTTTCTTCTCTATAACAGTAAATGTCACAGCTTGAAATCTAAACTTTCACATGATCCAAAAAAAGGAGAGAGACCAGTGACAATTCAGTATTTAATTCAACCCAAGTACGGCTCAGCCATTTGGGAAACATCTGACAAAGATACAGTAACTGATAAATCCATTTGTTTGTGTTTTTCAATCAGTTTTAAAAGATTTTGCCAGTGTTTGTTATTGTGTGTATTTTGTCACCATGGAAACTGCTCAACATTCTGTCAATAGAAAAGCATTATAGAACCCCCTCCAAAGCGTGATCACTGCAAAATATCAACAGTGGAATTCTAGATCAGTTGAAGTTTTCAAATCATCACTGTGGATAAACCATCATGATAACAAATTTAAACATGTGATATATAACTGAAGAAAATATAGACAGTAAACAGTAATATTATAATTCTACACAACAGTCCCCAAAAACTATGTTTAATCCCAAAATAATCCCAAAATAGTGCTCCTCAATGGACTTTAGATGATGTAACAGCAAATGATCACCACATATCACACAGATTCATACACTGACCATTTAATATAGAGTCAGTAGTCAACACCTGTTTGTTTTCTAGGCATAAGCACCAGTATCCATATTTACTGTTCAGATTGCCAATTTTATTTCTGTCCACAGACTCTTTGGCCACTCCTAAAACCCACACAGTCTTATCTTTGACTTGAACCACGAAGTAGAACCTGCCTGAAGAAAAACATTCTTTTGATAAAATGTTTCGCAAAGAAAATACTAGGACTTTCTCTGAAGTTCCACTGATCTGTTTCATGAACCTGTTTCAGATCTTTGGACACAGACAGTTTAACATTAGCTGTGTCTGTGTCCAGAGTGAGGTCCACAGCAAACTGTCTCAGTCTCCTCAGTTTGTCCACTTTGTGTATTTCTGCAGTGAGTTTCTCCTCCAGTTCAGTCAGAGCCCGGGCTGCAGTCCTCCCACACGTCTCTATGTCCAGTGTCACTCTGCTCCAGTCCTTCAGGCCAGTAGCGGGCGTGAGTGCAGTGCTGTGCAGGAGGAAGTGCAGGTTGCACATTACACAAACATACCCACAGTGTTTCCTGTAGGTTTACTGGTTTGGCCTGCAGGGTTTGTCACTGTACGTGCACACATGCACATGCTCATGCACGTGAGGGGAGAAAAATAGATTAAATAGATTTTTAATTAACTGTCATTTATCTTACTGTTACATTTTAGTTTATTGTTTTAAAATAATTATACAGCTGTAAAACACCTTATAAACACACTTTCAAAGATTTGGGCATTTTAATTAAATTAGTTTATAATTTGTTCAATTTCAAGTCTTTAGCACTAATGAATTCTGAAGTTATGACCTAATACAGTTATTTATGGTGTTTTTCTGAATAAAGGCAACAGCAGCCAAAATCATTCCAACAGGAGCAAACATCACTTTGATCCTCACTGCTTTACAAAAACATGCACAGTGCACTCAGTGTATCTGTCAGACAAATGGTGCTATCAGAATTATTTAAACTAGTAGGTTTGCCTTGCATTTTGCTTACTAACAAAGTGCCACTGAGTATTAATGTGCATTTTATTTTTTTCATGCACAAACTTAAGAATATCTATCTATATCTATATCTATCTATTTATCTATCTAGGCAGTGTGTTTTCACCATATTGTTTATGTTTGAGGCCTGTAAAGATGACTTGCTCAAGAGCACAGGGGTACTATATGCTAACTAATCTGCATAAACAAGTACACTAACTTGTTCATTCAGCCATGGTCTGCTGCCTAATTTGGCCAAAGTTTATATTTCACTCTCAAAGCTTTGTGAACACATCACAGAGGTAAAACAAATACTCTTTAATTAGTCCTGTTTTTTTGTCATATGTTTATTGCAGAGGTGATGCAAACAGTGGTTTCATACATTGTCTCATTAGTCATGTTTCTAAGCTACTTTAGAGCCTCCTCAGTCTGTGTTTAAGTTGCTCTGAGTGTACTATTAAATAAAAAAGAGTAAATGACACAATCAGACACTTTCTCTGTGAATGTTTTTTTTGGACTAACAATATTCAAAATGTGTTCAGTACTCCACTTACATGATGGATGAATATTTAACATTATCTTCATTGAAAAGCACAATGGTAATAACCTAGTAATAGTAGAAATAAGAAATTAGTTCTTCATTAAATAATGGCCTGCTAAATGATCATCATTGGTGATATTTTAATACCACTTTTTCACTGCAGTAAGGACCAGAGGAGCAGAGTTTTTACCATCAAAATTATAACATGGATTTAAAAATGGAACCAGGTTCTCATTGAAGCTGCAGCTGGTGAAGGAGTAGATGAGATCTGCAGAATCAACATCATAAAAGGAGACCAGACCCTCATCATAGTCCACAAACACGCCCAACTTTTGAGGAGGACACTTCAGAGTCAAACGGACTGGAGGGTCAGGACAAGCCTCATACTCATCTATGTTTCTCATATAAAGGCACCAGTATCCATATTCACTGGTCAGAGTTTGCATAAAGTTCTTTTTCCTTTGAACAGATTCTTTGGCCACTCCCACAGTCCATGAAATCTTCCCTTTGACTTGAACCTCAAAGTAGAATTTTCCTGAAGAAAATCTCTGCTTTGTTAAAACATTTTTCCATGAAAATCTCTGAGGACTGTCTCTGAAGTTCTTCTGATCCGTGTGATGAACCTGCTTCAGATCTTTGGACACAAACAGATTAACATTAGCTGTGTCTGTGTCCAGAGTGAGGTCCACAGCAAACTGTCTCACTCTCCTCAGTTCGGCCTTAACCATCTTCATTTTTTCTTCAGAGATGGTTTTCTTTAGTGTCTCCTTCAGACTGTCGTCCAGCTCAGCCAGAGCCCGGGCTCCAGTCCCCTGATACGCCTCTGAGTCCAGTGTCACTCTGCTCCAGTCCTTCAGGCCAGTAGGGGGCGTGAGTGCAGTGCTGTGCAGGAGGAAGTGCAGGTGGTCTTCAGAGTGTTGGAGTGTCTCTGCCTCAGTGCTTCTCTGCTGCAGAGCACAGATCTCCTGCTGTAGCTCCAGGATCAGGGCTTCAGCCTGTTTCTGGGTCTGTCTCTGCCTCTCCTGGAGCTCCTGTATGAAGGCCTCTCTGCTCCTCTCAACACACTCTATCAGAGCACTGAAGACCTGCAGCCCTGTGGCCATCTCTGTGTGGGCTGCTCTCTCACTCAGCTGCACTGAGCTCTGGAGCTCCTGGATCTTCAGCCTCCTCTGCTCCACCATGTGCAGGCTTTGCTCCTGAGTCTGCTGCAGTGAGGCCTTTCTCCGCTCGAACTCTTCCTTCAGAGTCACAAACTTATGGGACTGGTGCTTTAAAACAGAGCACATGGTGCAGACGCAGAGGTGGTCGTTGCAGCAGAAGAGCTCCAGAGGTCTGTGGTGTTGGGGACACATCCTCTCCTCCATGTTGTCCACAGGTTGGATCAGCTGGTGGCTCCTCAGCCCAGGCACGTTCAGATGAGGCTGGAGGTGCGTCTCACAGTATGAGGACAGACAGACCAGGCAGGACTTCAGCGCCTTCAGTTTGGGATCAGTGCAGTAATCACAGGACACTTCTCCTGCTCTGGACTCTTGTTCACAACTACTTCCTGTTTCCTGTTTGAACTGAGAGAGCAGTTCTGAGAGCAGCGTGTTCACTTTGAGCTCTGGCTTTATGTGGAACAGCTCTTTACACAGAGGGCACCTGCAGGGGGCGCTGGTGTCCCAGTGCTCAGAGAGACACTGTTTGCAGAAGTTGTGTCCACATGAGGTGGTCACTGGTTCAGTGAACAGATCCAGACAGATGGAGCAGAGGAACTGGTCCTCAAACTTCACAGCAGCAGCCATTCTGAGCCTGAGGACAGAGGGAAGAGTGGTGACAAAGTGTCAGTGCTTCAAACCAAGATGATCCTGTGAAATGTGAAAACATTTGTGAATTTACATTTTAGATATTCAGTGTGACTCTTGCCAACTGTTTGGGGCAATAACATCATCACATTCTAGAATCTGCAAACCACCTCTTGTAGTCACAGCTGCCCTGATGTGGACTTATGGACGAGAGGCTTGGACCTGGCAAGTACTAACCCCTCCCCACCCTGGCCTGCTTAGCTTCCAAGATAAGACGACTTGGCATTCTCGATGTGCTGTCACCCATATATTTCATTTTTGTGATGTTTAAATTAAAGACTTAACGTGTTTAATAAAGAATAAGAAACCACAGAGACACAGACAGATGAAGTTATAGAGGCGTATGACATGACCTTATAATCACAGTCTTTTCAAATAGCTGCGTATAACTCTTAAATTATATTCTGCCCCTTACATTTAACAAGTCAAAACATTTTTAACAGCTTACTATAAATAACAGAGCATAAAGACTTCCACATGTCTGTATCTGTGTTTGAATATGTCCTGAGAAGACTGAAATCTGCTCTGCTAAACTAACACAAGAATCACATTCAGTTCAGAACATGATTGTAGTAGTGTTTTCAAAAGGATAGAAAATCAGATACTAATTGATATTAAAACTAGTATCAAAAGTAGATACTCATTTCAGCAGGTATCAATACTAAAAAAGTCATCAGAGTTGAGTCAGTATAAGAGCACATAGACTAGTCACGCCCATGGAGCACGATGGACGAATGAGGAATTACACAGATATAAGGCCACATGGCAATATATAAGAAAGTACTGCAATTTAATGTTGAAAATCACATTCATATTAGTATGTCCTGTGATTCATAGAAGAGTTATATGACCTAAATCATACAGTGCTTATTTAATGTGAGTATTGAGATTGTGTTCTGTTGTCGTGGATGACAGCTGTACTCACCACAGTCAGTGCTCTGGGTGGGTCCGGTGTTGTACTTTGGTCCTTTCTGAGCAGCTCTTGTGTCGACTGTTGGATTTGAAATGTCTTGTGTGCGTGAGAAGTGAGTAATGACACAGCCTGACTTGTATCTTCAGTTAATTATTGCAGGTTTTATTATTATGATCGTGTATTGCCTCTGCACCACACACACTTATGTGTCCTCGTAAAGCAGGCTACGCTAGAGTCCTGCTGGTCAAATCTAACATTTTTTACACCGACCTGGCTTGTGGGCTGAGTGTTACAAAGAATCATACAGCTCACCATAAGGAGGGTTCAAACAGGGGCCAGGAAAGATCGCTAGATTACTCAAACATGCATGAATGACATCTAAAACCTCTTCAGGCATGTTTCTGATGAGACATGCCAACATTTTAACATGGAAGAAAGCTAAAAGAAACTATTTTGCAAATAACTTCTTTAAGTTGCAGTTTGTGAAGAAATTTAGTTCACAACAATTGGAAAATACATGGAATAGTTGTGAAATATATAAATGGATTACCTCTACCTGTGTCAGCAAGTGTCATCAACTCCATCCAAAATGCAGAGAGAATTTACGCACCAGAAAGACATTTTTCTGACAGTTTAAACCTTCATTTAACGCAATAAAGGTGTTGTCATTTATTTGTATTTGTCAAATCCTAACTGCTGTATAATGTAGACAGGTTTGGTCCTTGTTTACATTATGGTTGCTATGTAACATAACTCAAAATATGTCTGCTGCCCATGTCCAACCAAGAAGTAAAATTATAAACTTCAACAAAATGACAAAACTGGACTAAGCCGGATTTTTGGTCAAATCTTAAATATTTCACACCTTGGCCTTCAGTAGTGCTCTGTCTGAAACAGTCCACTCGTCACTAACTATTTTATGGTTATAAAAGCATCTTATACAGAAATACAGTATAAAGAGACGTTGCATTGCAGACAGATAACTCCTGTAGCCACAATCAGAGGTGTAGTGAGCGTGGTATGCAAGGGTAAGCCGTTCACCTATTTCTCCCGATGTGACATATGAAAAATAACAAATATAAAATAGCTACAACTTAAATGTCAAACTGGAGCTATTGGAAATGGTGAAAACAACCTGCATAGGCTCATGATATCTCCAGTACTGTCCTATAGTGACCTGAGACATGAGGAGACCTGGACTGGACCAGGACTAAACCAGGACTGAGTGTCAAACGGCCCCAGAGGTGCTCACACGTAGACCGTTGGGTGACTGCAGAGCTCCACGCCTCAAGGAGCGAAGCACAGCTGTAGCTCGATCGCGCTTTCCAGACACCCTGCCCCACGGGCTCGGGGTTCTCTCTCTATATATATAATTTTAATTCGCGTATTCTGCTACTTACAGATGCAGTTTGCTTCTTTGGCTTTTTCGCTCTCTGACTGTCCAATCAGCGGGTCTGAATCTGGTGACGTCTCCGTACACCTGCTGGAAGGCCCTGGTGATAACAACTCAAAATCTGATTGGATGAAGCAACAGTTTCGCCGACATTTATTTTGTGTTCGAGGGCCTTCAGAATGGATTGTGAAGGCCTCAGGCACACTGACCTTGCCTGGCAACAAATGATGGCTAAAATGTGATTGGTTAAATGCTTTAATATAAAAATACATGTCTGGAAGCAGCACAACTATCAGAAAAGCTCTGAAAGGAAGTGAACAGACCATTTGGAATTATTAAATAATAATATAATTAATATCAGTCTGTGATTCAGAGATTATTTTAGGCCAGCAGAGAAGGCCTTACTGACCACTGAATTCCACAATAGTTACAATTACACGAATATCTTTAAAATACCTTTAATTTGGTCAATGAATGTTTAAATGACCAGAAAAATTACCTTTCTTTTGTTTAAATTGTTGCTGCATTTTGGATAGAATTTTCAGGTTGAGGTATTCTGTTTTAGAACTCTACTGCTACTTCCTGTATTTTGTTCTTTTCTTTTTTGTTCACAAACTGCCATTTAACTGATGTAAAACTATATGATAAATATTAATGAATTAACCACAGATAGTATCCCACCAAAAGAAGGCTAAATTATAAAAACTTACCTCGGCTGCTGTGGCTACAAACGGCTTCACTGTACCAAACTCACACACTTCTGACTGTTATTCTGTTCTTTTTGTAATAAACCTATTGAACCAGATAACACACCTGATACTTTCAGCTGATGTCATCAATATTCTCTGGGGCAGTGAAGCTAACTGGAAGCACTACTCTGTCAGAAGTTCAGTTAATCAAGTTAGATTTAACCTGAGCTTCATTTGAACACTATCTGACCAGAAAGAGCTGATTTGATTGGAACTACAACAGGAGAGGTGATTTGTGCTTTTAAACATTGTCTCACGCATCATATACAGTCACAAGTTAATCACGCTCACCTTTTTATTAAAAATCAAACTCCTTAACAGGATCATGAACTCTCATATTGATCACAGGCTCCTGAAAATGTGTCGTTTAAATCCATTTTGTTTGTTTTTTCTTGAGTTTTCAGACAATCTTAAAACATTTTCCCAGTGTTTGCGTTTGTGTGCATTGTGTCACCATGGAAACTGCTGAACATTCTGTCAATAGAAAAGCATTATAGAACCCCCTCCCCAGCATGATCACTGCAAAATATCAACAGTGGAATTCTAGATCAGTTAAAGTTTTCAAATCATCACTGTGGATAAACCATCATGATAACAAATTTAAACATGTGATATATAACTGAAGAAAATATAGACAGTAAACAGTAATATTATAATTCTACACAACAGTCCCCAAAAACTATGTTTAATCCCACAATAATCCCAAAATAGTGCTCCTCAATGGACTTTAGATGATGTAACAGCAAATGATCACCACATGCCACACAGATCCATACACTGACCATTTAATATAGAGTCAGTAGTGTTTGGTTAATCATTTGATCTACTCATAGCCTTTGAATCTACATTTGTGTTCTGATTTACATCTATGTCCTTTCACCGGAACAAAAGTTCACAAACTGAAGATCATCATCTGTGATACTTGGTCACTTCTCCACTGCTGTTAAGATCAGAGGAGCAGAGTTTATACCATTAAAGTTATTACAAGGATTTAAAAATGGAAACAGTTTCTGCTTGAAGCTGCAGCCGGTGAAGGAGTAGATGAGATCTGCAGAATCAGCATCATAAAAAGAGACCAGACCCTTGTCATAGTCCACAAACACCCCCACCTTCTGAGGAGGACACTTCAGGGACACAGGAACTCGAGGTGGATCAAAAGAGACAAATAACTCTTTGTTTTCTAGGCATAAGCACCAGTATCCATATTTACTGTTCAGATTGCCAATTTTTTTTCTGTCCACAGACTCTTTGGCCACTCCTAAAATCCACACACACTTATCTTTGACTTGAACCTCGAAGTAGAACCTGCCTGACGAAAAACTTTCTTTTGATAAAATGTTTCGCAAAGAAAATCTACTCGGACTTTCTCTGAAGTTCCACTGATCTGTTTCATGAACCCGTTTCAGATCTTTGGACACAGACAGTTTAACATTAGCTGTGTCTGGGTCCAGAGTGAGGTCCACAGCAAACTGTCTCACTCTCCTCAGTTTGCCCTTGTGTATTTCTGCAGTGAGTTTCTCCTCCAGTTCAGCCAGAGCCCGGGCTGCAGTCCTCCCACACGTCTCTATGTCCAGTGTCACTCTGCTCCAGTCCTTCAGGCCAGTAGGGGGCGTGAGTGCAGTGCTGTGCAGGAGGAAGTGCAGGTGGTCTTCAGAGCGTTGGAGTGTCTCTGCCTCAGTGCTTCTCTGCTGCAGAGCACAGATCTCCTGCTGTAGCTCCAGGATCAGGGCTTCAGCCTGTTTCTGGGTCTGTCTCTGCCTCTCCTGGAGCTCCTGTATGAAGGCCTCTCTGCTCCTCTCAACACACTCTATCAGAGCGCTGAAGACCTGCAGCCCTGTGGCCATCTCTTTGTGGGCTGCTCTCTCACTCAGCTGCACTGAGCTCTGGAGCTCCTGGATCTTCAGCCTCCTCTGCTCCACCATGTGCAGGCTCTGCTCCTGAGTCTGCTGCAGTGAGGCCTTTCTCCGCTCAAACTCTTCCTTCAGAGTCACAAACTTATGGGACTGGTGCTTTAAAACAGAGCACATGGTGCAGACGCAGAGGTGGTCGTTGCAGCAGAAGAGCTCCAGAGGTCTGTGGTGTTGGGGACACATCCTCTCCTCCATGTTGTCCACAGGTTGGATCAGCTGGTGGCTTCTCAGCTTGGGCACGTTCAGATGAGGCTGGAGGTGCGTCTCACAGTATGAGGACAGACAGACCAGGCAGGACTTCAGCGCCTTCAGTTTGGGATCAGTGCAGTAATCACAGGACACTTCTCCTGCGCTCGACTCTTGTTCACAACTACTTCCTGTTTCCTGTTTGAACTGAGAGACCACCTCTGAGAGCAGCGTGTTCACTTTGAGCTCTGGCTTTATGTGGAACAGCTCTTTACACAGAGGGCACCTGCAGGGGGCGCTGGTGTCCCAGTGCTCAGAGAGACACTGTTTGCAGAAGTTGTGTCCACATGCAGTGGTCACTGGTTCAGTGAACAGATCCAGACAGATGGAGCAGAGGAACTGGTCCTCAAACTTCACAGCAGCAGCCATTCTGAGCCTGAGGACAGAGGGAAGAGTGGTGACAAAGTGTCAGTGCTTCAAATCAAGATGATCCTGTGAAATGTTACAGTCAGTGTCTGTGCAGCACAGACCATAAACAGAACGTGAAGTAGAGGGACTGAAGCTGTGAAAACTGGACTATGAACCCAAAAGTCAAACTAGTTCAGAGATTGGACGCTCCACTTGAAACTCTGTTGTTTGCACCAGTCAGAGCTGAGTGAGAGGAGTGGACCAGCAGAGCCTGAAAGCCACAGGACACTATTCTGACCTATTTGAACTGAGCTGGGAAGACAAAGTGAAACTAAACTCAACTTGTTTTTATGGCCATAAGTCCCTAAAACCATAAGAATATTAATAAATAAAAATAAAATAAAGGGGTGAATTGTTACTCACTGTAACATTTCTTAAAAACGGCAAGGAGCTGGTTGAAGCTGTTCTATGTTATGGTTTTTGAAACACTATGAAACTGTGTTATGTTGTTCCACGTTGAGACCAACTTCTGATCTATGGGATGAAGGAAAGCCACCATCCAGGAAACTACTTTAAATGTATAAAATGTGATTTCCAAAGACTTGAGAAAGAGTATAATATTGTACACTTCATATGAATGAATTTCTTATGAGATAATAAAGTATTTCTAATTTCTAATCTAATCTAAAACAGCTGGACTCTTTAAATACCAGTATATAGTGAACACTTTTAACATGAAGACAGCTGCCTTCTCCACGTCTGTATCTGTGTTTGAATATTTCCGGAGAAAACTGAAATCTGCACGACTAAACTAACACAAGAATCACATTCAGTTCAGAACATGTTTGAAGACGCCTAAACCACACGAATAACAGCTTTAATGTGTCCTAAGAGACCAAAGAGACTGTAGTTATACACACAGGAGTATTGTATAACCTAAATGATTCAGATTGTGTTCTGTTGTCGTGGATGACAGCTGTACTCACCACAGTCAGTGCTCTGGGTGGGTCCGATGTTGCACTTTTGTCCTTTCTGAGCAGATCTTGTGTCGTCTTTTTGATTTAAAATGGATTGTGCGTTTGAGGAAGTAAGTGTGCGATCTTTTATTGTCGTCAGATTGTTGTGTTTCAGGTTGGGTCAGTTGAATGCGGGTAAGTTCTGGGTGTGACTTAGCCAGGCTGGTGCCAACTAGTGCCTCCGCTCAATTTAATTTCTCTCCAGCAACTAGGTCAGGAATCAAAATACAATAGATGGTTCGCAAAAACCCTGGAAGTGCAAGTTCAGGCACCAGCCAATCAGCGAAGAGTCATGTATTCTGTGTTGTCAACGATTCCCGAGATCGAGAATTTAAAGCTGTGACAAAGAGAATGTTTGGTAAATTTTATCAAGGGGAAAGACGTTATTGCCCTTCTTCCTACGGGATTTGGGAAAAGCTTAATATACCAGTTATCCCCGTTAGCGGTGCATTACATAAGTCACCACGAAATAGCAGCGATTGGTTAAATGAAAAATAGTACCCTCCTACCGTCGAGAGAACGAATTTTAACACTGCGAGGTCAGACGGTTTCTACAAAGTGAAACCGGCTGATGAATCAGGCTAGGTGTGACAGAGATATCTCTGTTTTCAAAAGTTGTAAATTATGTTTCTTTCTTGTTACCATCTTCTACAGAAATGATCAATAAAAATAATGTCCATTGAATTTGAATATACAGGCAGGAGATTGTAGTAAAATACATTTGGCTTTTGAAAACTGTACAATACCAAGAGTAAACTGCAAGACTCTGATTACTTTAAAATGTCATTATCTGTTTTTACAAATTTGCAATTTCTTATGTTTGTCCAACGATCAACCAATAATCCATTCACAATATTTAGTCAACCTGAGTAGGGCAAAATATTTTGGGAAAAAGATCTACTTTTTCTGAGATTTTTGTTTTATAATAGGCTTCTGTTCAAAGTTCACATTTTAAACGTGTCCAGAAGAACTGACTTTTTTTTAAAAATGAAGAATAAAACTGAATATTTTGTTGTTTATGGAGGAAATTATGGTATTTAAAAAAACTGCATCCTAATTGCATCTTTTCATATTGCGATTTTGATTCGACTGATCCTCCAGCTGTAAACACAAGGCATTTTATTCTGACTTTACAAAAGTGTTCAAGCCTTCACTTCATATCATCAGTTCACTAAATAATGATCAATATTGGTGATTTCTGAATGCCAGTGTCACTTCTCCACTGCAGTAAGGACCAGAGGAGCGGAGTTTTCACCATGACAATTAACACAAGGATTTAAAAATGGAAACAGTTTGTCGTTGAAGCTGCAGCCGGTGAAGGAGTAGATGAAATCTGCAGAATCAGCGTCGTAAAAGGAGACCAGACCCTCGTCATAGTCCACAAACACCCCCACCTTCTGAGGAGGACACTTTAGGGACACAGGGGCACAAGGCTCAGCGCAGACAAAGCACGAACCATTTTTTATTTTCATATCTAAACACCAGAATCCATTTTCACTGCATAACGATTTTCTGTTGTTTCGATCCACAGATTCTTTGGCCACTCCCAAAACCCACACAGTCTTATCCCTGACTTGAACCTCAAAGTAGAACTTTCCAGAAGAAAAACCCTGCTTTGTAAAAACATTGTAATAAGAAAATCTGCCAGGACCATCCGTGAAGTTCCTCTGATCCGTGTGATGAACCTGTTTGAGATCTTTAGACACACACAGGTTAACATGAGCCGTGTCTGGATCCAGAGTGAGGGCCACAGCAAACTGTCTCACTCTGCTGAGCTCCAGGTTTGAGTCTTGGGTCTGCTGCAGAGAGGACTTTCTCAGGCTGAGGTCTTCCTTGTTAGACATCATTTGACTGGAGCTCCTGATCGCATAGTCCAGAGGCGGGGCGTCAAAAGGAGTCTGTGCAATAGAAAACACACAGATCACAGAGGGCAAAATAGAACCAATACAAGATACTGGAGTGTTGATTTGGAGCTCTATGCAAGATTTGAAATACAGGGCTCTACAACTGATGAAGATACAGTTGATTCTAACGCAGCTATCTTTTAACTTCAACTCAGAAGAGATAGGCAATTCCAGGACTGAAATTATTCAAATGATTCTAGTGAAGGTGCATGGAATTCAAAAACACAGTGGAGCTCCTCCTGTATTACAACATGGCATCAGAATACATGTGTGAATGAAACGAAACACATCTCCATTTATGTTTGTGATGAGAAGACAACATAACATAGATCAGAAAATCTCCATTTCAATACCAATCTTCTCCTTTTTATTGATTTTATGAACAGGATTTAGGCAGTGCTTTAATACATCATTTAGTATGAAATGTTAAATAAATGTTCAATAAATGATCACCAATATGAAATATGCCCTTGTTATAATAAATCAAAGTAACTGTGACTGTGGCTGTGACAGAGACATTATGATCTGTTTCTATTTCTAAAAGCTGCGTTTTTCACCATATTATTTGTGTTTGAGGCCTGTAAAAAGATGAGCTGCTCAAGAGCACATGGGTACTATATGCTCACTAATATGCAGAAATTAGTTTGGCCAAAGTTTAGATCAATCGATCAATCAACCAATTAAGCGTTATTTATAAAGCACTTTTCATACAAGAAATGTAACACAAAGTGCTTGACAGTGATTAAAAACAATCCCACACTTCCTCCCACCCACCAACCCAGCCCCACAACTGCTCAACTCCACACAACCAAACAACCCAGACACACGCACATACATGTACACATGCACACACACACTCGCACACAAACATGCTAAAATACATAAACTATACACATAGTAAAATGTGAGACTGAATACAGGCGAACCAGTTGAGAGATGACGCCCAAGCACCACCCCTCCACCAGGACACAGGGCCCAGAGCAGAGACGAGGCCCAAGCACCACCCCTCCACCAGGACACAGGGCCCAGAGCAGAGACGAGACAAAGCTGCTTTAGAGCCTCCTCAGTCTGTGTTTGGTGTGCTATTGAATAAAAAAGTGTAAATGACACAGTCAGACACTTTCTCTGTAAATGTTTCTTTTGGACTAACAATATTCAAAATGTGTGCAGTACTCCACTTTGATGATTAATGATTATTTAACAATTATCTTCACTGAAAAACACAATGGTGATCTAAAATAACCTAATAATAGTAGAAATTTGAAATGAGTTCTTCATTAAATGATAGCATGCTAAATTATCATCCTTGGTGATATATTATTAATATTTTTTCACTGCAGTGAGGATCAGAGGAGCAGAGTTTATACCATCAAAGTTATTACAAGGATTTAAAAATGGAAACAGTTTCTCATTGAAGCTGCAGCCGGTGAAGGAGTAGATGAGATCTGCAGAATCAGCGTCATAAAAAGAGACCAGACCCTCGTCACAGTCCACAAACACCCCCACCTTCTGAGGAGGACACTTCAGAGTCAAAGGGACTGGAGGGTCTGAACAAGCCTCATACTCATCTATGTTTTTCAAATAAAGGCACCAGTATCCATATTCACTGGTCAGAGTTTGCTTAGTGTTCTTCTTCCTTTGAACAGATTCTTTGGCCACTCCCACAGTCCATGAAGTCTTCCCTTTGACTTGAACCTCAAAGTAGAATTTTCCTAAAGAAAATCTCTGCTTTGTTAAAACATTTTTCCATGAAAATCTCTGAGGACTGTCTCTGAAGTTCTTCTGATCCGTGTGATGAACCTGTTTCAGATCTTTGGACACAGACAGATTAACATTAGCTGTGTCTGTGTCCAGAGTGAGGTCCACAGCAAACTGTCTCACTCTCCCCAGTTTGTCCTTAAACACTTTGTGTATTTCTGCAGTGAGTTTCTCCTCCAGTTCAGTCAGAGCCCGGGCTGCAGTCCCCTCATACGTCTCTGTGTCCAGTGTCACTCTGCTCCAGTCCTTCAGGCCAGTAGGGGGCGTGAGTGCAGTGCTGTGCAGGAGGAAGTGCAGGTGGTCTTCAGAGCGTTGGAGTGTCTCTGCCTCAGTGCTTCTCTGCTGCAGAGCACAGATCTCCTGCTGTAGCTCCAGGATCAGGGCTTCAGCCTGTTTCTGGGTCTGTCTCTGCCTCTCCTGGAGCTCCTGTATGAAGGCCTCTCTGCTCCTCTCAACACACTCTATCAGAGCGCTGAAGACCTGCAGCCCTGTGGCCATCTCTGTGTTGGCTGCTCTCTCACTCAGCTGCACTGAGCTCTGGAGCTCCTGGATTTTCACCCTCCTCTGCTCCACCATGTGCAGGCTCTGCTCCTGAGTCTGCTGCAGTGAGGCCTTTCTCCGCTCGAACTCTTCCTTCAGAGTCACAAACTTATGGGACTGGTGCTCTAAAACAGAGCACATGGTGCAGACGCAGAGGTGGTCGTTGCAGCAGAAGAGCTCCAGAGGTCTGTGGTGTTGGGGACACATCCTCTCCTCCATGTTGTCCACAGGTTGGATCAGCTGGTGGCTTCTCAGCTTGGGCACGTTCAGATGAGGCTGGAGGTGCGTCTCACAGTATGAGGACAGACAGACCAGGCAGGACTTCAGCGCCTTCAGTTTGGGATCAGTGCAGTAATCACAGGACACTTCTCCTGCGCTGGATTCATGTTCACAACTACTTCCTGTTTCCTGTTTGAACTGAGAGAGCAGCTCTGAGAGCAGCGTGTTCACTTTGAGCTCTGGCTTTATGTGGAACAGTTCTTTACACAGAGGGCACCTGCAGGGGGCGCTGGTGTCCCAGTGCTCAGAGAGACACTGTTTGCAGAAGTTGTGTCCACATGGAGTGTACACTGGTTCAGTGAACAGATCCAGACAGATGGAGCAGAGGAACTGGTCCTCAAACTTCACAGCAGCCATTCTGAGCCTGAGGACAGAGGGAAGAGTGGTGACAAAGTGTCAGTGCTTCAAATCAAGATGATCCTGTGAAATGTTACAGTCAGTGTCTGTGCAGCACAGACCATAAACAGAATGTGAAGTAGAGGGACTGAAGCTGTGAAAACTGGACTATGAACCCAAAAGTCAAACTAGCTCAGAGATTGGACGCTCCACTTGAAACTCTGTTGTTTGCACCAGTCAGAGCTGAGTGAGAGGAGTGGACCAGCAGAGCCTGAAAGCCACAGGACACTGACCTGGAAATGCGCAAATGTGCAACCATGCAAATGTGAATTGGCACAACACTTCTGCAGATCTTTTGTACTCTCTGAATTCTCTCATGTATACATCAGTTTAGCAGCAGAAATAACACATGCACTTCATATTGGTAAATCACATGCAACACGCTCACAAACTTCACAGGCTTCATACTTCGAAACATCTCCATGCAGATAGATATGCTTTATGCCATACTGTGGAATATTAGGAACAATATTTCCACCAAAACACGTAGAAGGCCTTCCTCCAGGCCAGGTAAGAATCAGCAGGGGAGAGTAGAATCCGTGTATCATTCGTTCATTCGTTTTTCAATATAAAACCAAAAATAAGAAAACGAAAAAACAACAGTTTTCTTCGCTATTTGTCTCCAAAACCAAAATGAAAACATGGATAACGATTCGTTTTTCCAGTTTTCGATTTTGTGTTTATATGAAGAATGGAAAAAACGGATAAAGCTTGGAGTCCGCCCCAGTCCTGCTCTGGTCCTGGTCTGGTCCCGCTCTGGTCCCGCTCTGATCACGCTCTGGTCTCGGACCTGGATCAGTCCCGGTTCAGTCCGTATGCGGTGCAAAAGTTCGGCATCGCAGTCACGGAAGTCACGTAAACGGGAAACGGCCGTTATCCGTTTTTTCCATTCTTCATTTAAACACAAAATCGAAAACTGAAAAAACGAATCATTATCCGTTTTTTCATTTTGGTTTTGGAGACAAATAGCGAAGAAAACTGTTGTTTTTTCGTTTTCTTATTTTTGGTTTTATATTGAAAAACGAATGAACGAATGATACACGGATTGAGTAGGAATGCACAGATATCAGTACCAGGTACTGGTCCCATATGAAGTGTCAGTACTCTAGTGTCCTAATGAGCTACCCCCATACCACTATTCTGCTGTGTCCTAATGTGACGTGCACAGCTCTCCTCTTTGTGACCAGAAAGAAGCACATATTAAGCCTTAATCACATGGGATTGTCACATGAACTATGGACACATTTATAGAGCTTCTCAGCGCAGTGCTTGTGTTTACAATATTGCACAGTGAGTGCACTGAATAGAGCAGGTTAAGAGCTATTTCAACAGGTACAGCATGTCCATATTGGTCAAAGTAAATATCAAAGGTACTTCTCTAAATTATATTGCATTCCTAACTAGAGCACTCTGAAATATGAACCACTAAATTAATCCAAGAATCACATGCATTTCAGAACATGTTTGAGAGCAGCTTCAATACATAACAGGAGAGCACAGAGTTTATTCACAGAGGAGTGTTATATCACCTAAAGAAGTGCGGCTCTGGTGTTTCCTTGTGTTCTGTAGTCCTGGATGACAGCTGTACTCACCACAGTCAGTGCTCTGGGTGGGTCGGGTATTTTAGTTTGGTCCTTTCTAAGCAGCTCTTGTGTCGACTGGATTGTGCGTTTCAGGAAGTGAGATGATGTCATGTTAAAGGAATACCATGCCTCTGCATTGAGGCTGTTCTGTTGGGACTGCAGCTGCAGACGGGAGAGGGGGTGGCGGGTGACAGTGGTGGAAAGTAAAGAAGCACCAAAGTAAAAGTACAATACTTAAATACACATTTTAGATATCTATACTTTGCTTAGGTAAATTTTACAGAGGATACTTTTTACTTTGACTTCACTACATTTGAGAATGGGCATCTGTACTTTCTACTCCACCACATTTAGAGCTGGACTGAAAAGTAAAAAGTACTTTTCTTTATGGTGTGAGACATGCTGAGATGGCTGAGATTTATTTCTAGCACATTTAATTTCAGTTATCATCCCAACTTTGAGCAAATACACACAAAAAAAAGAGTATAAGAGCTTTTCTCAGTTCTCAATTTTTCAGTTTTTAATTTTTATTTATTTATTTATTTGGTGTTAGGTGTTGTTTTAATTTTAACTTTGATATGTATTCTACCAGCTAGTACTTGCTGTTAAACATAACCAATAGTAATTTAAAGAAGACCTATTGTGCTTGTGTGTGTTATATTATATAGTATTATAATCTATGACACCCATGGATCATTATGTTAAAAACTGCAGTGCCCAGTGGGAGCCAACGTCTAAAATGGAGGTAAAATCTATAACTAAACAGAAGGAAAAATGGCAAAAAGAATGGAATAACGAGAGGAGAAGTAGCTGTTACCATAAAATTCAGAAAAAAGTAGGAACTATGAGAAATTCGGTGAGAAACAGGAAAATAGACATGTTAATCTCGAGGTTAAGATTTGGACATTCAGGATTAAACTATACTCTACATAAAATAGGAAAACATAATACTGGGCATTGTGACTACTGTGGACAACCAGAAACAATAGAACATGTATTTATGGAGGGTAGAAAATGTAGAGGGGAAAGAAATACAACGAAGAAAGGGATCAAGGACCTAAAAATGAAATTTAATTTGGTGGAATTGTTAGAGCAGCTCCCAGGGAATAATGGGTGTTTGGTGTCATACTGTGGAACATTCCAGAGAGAGCAATGACATATCCGTAGAAATAAGCAACTGACAGACCCCCAACCAAAAAATTACACAGTGCACCTTTAAGTCATTTTAACTTACCGAGATATTGCTTTTTGCAGTGCAGCTTTTTTCAAGAGGTAGATGTGGCCAGTGGGTTACTTTTCATATCGTTTCAAAGCAAATATGTCTCTCGGGATGTGCGTTTTAACTTCCGCGGAAATGTCAATTAAAAGGAGAAAACTTCAAAATGGCGGCGTTTAAACTTTGAGATGTGTAAAATGCTCCCCGCTGAACGGCTGTCAAAAGGGAGGTTTGATCTGAGACGCGAAAAGACAACTTGTGTTTATTTACAGTTGGAATTGTCACGCCGTTATTTGAAAATGCAGTGAAGATGCGTTCGAAAGATGACAGTTTAAGAAAAGAAAAGGCTGGTACAATTATCCGGTGAAGGTGCGGAGGGGAGTTGGCGATGACGCTAAACAGAAACAATGAAGGTTTTGAAGTTTCAGTCAGGACGACCTCTGACCCCAGGGTGTTCAGAAGAGGAGGAAGAGATGGATTTATAGGAGATAGCGAGAGGAGAGGAGGAGTTTTCATTTGACAGAAAACCAGCAGTAACTGTCACTTCATTTTGTCATAATTCTATTTTGGAACTCGATTTCGATACTAAGGATGTGGCTCAAAACTCAATACCAATCTTGATACAACAAAGACAAAAAAAACAAAACAACAATGTAGAATTTAGAATATAATTTTCAGCACAAAATAATAACCTTTAAAAAAAAAAAAGTTCTTATACTACGCAAAATTGACTCTTGTGAGCTTTAAGCCATGTTATAATGTTATTTCATCAAAAACAGAGCTGAAGTTGTGTTTTGTTTCATTCATATATGTCTGAGTAACACAGTTATTATTACTCTGTTTACATCTCCAAAGCTTAAAATGCTCTGTTCAACCTTGTGATGTCATGAAGCAGTAGTTTTCAAGTTTACAGCTCCTTTTACCTTTAGTTCAGTAGAGATTGGCAATTCCAGATCTGAAATCATCCAAATGATTCTTTAACTACATTACATTTTCCTTTAACTACATTCTTGTCAAATGTACTGACAAATACAGGGTGTCCCAATCATTTTGGCAATTCTTGTTGAAATGACATCCAATTTTCACAGAATGTATAGAAACAGATCAAGATTTTATATTGAATGTTTTATTTTTGTTCTATTTTCAGGTTGAGCCATTCACTTTCAAAGAGAAGTCATTTTGTGTTTTGGAATCTGCTCGCACACAGTCATCCAAGACTCTGCAGTGTTCCTTTAATGCAAAATTTGGAAAAACTTCACCAAACAAATTTGGATTTGATACCACAAATTTAAAGAGGAAGGCTGCTTATGCATAGCCAGGCTGGTGCCACCTAGTGCCTCCACTCAGTTTCATTTCTCTCCAGCGACTAGGTCAGGAATCAGAATACATTAGACGGTTTGTAAGAACCCTGGAAGTTGAAGAACCAAACACCGACCAATCAGCAAAGAGCTGTGAAGCCATGACATCAAACTCGTCGTGTTTGTCTGTGCCTTTTTGTGGTACAGCACAACAGTAAACAAAGCGGTCAAGATGGACAAAGACAAAGACAGACATTCTATGTTAATGATGATTCCCAAGATCGAGGATTTAAAGCCGGAACAAAGAGAATGTTTGGTGAAATTTATCAAGGGGAAAGACGTTACTTGTCCTTCTTCCTAAGGGATTTGGCGTATTACATACATCACAACCAAATAGCAGCAATCGGTTAAAGAAAAAAGTACCTGCCTTCAGTCGAGTGAATAAAACCTAATACTGTGAGGTCAGATGGTTTTCATGAAGTGAAACCGGCTGATGAATCAGGCTAGTTTATGCAGGGCTAAAGGATTACATATGTGTGTGAGCATATTCTAAAACGCAAAATGACTTCTCTTTGGGAGTGAACGGCATGGCTCAACCTGAAAACAGAAATAAAGCGTTAAAAATATAAAATCTTGATCTGTTTCTATACATTCTGTGAAAATCTGAGGTTATTTCAACAAAAAATGCCCAAATTATTGTCCTGCAAAATGATGTCAAATTTTTTTGGGACACCCTGTAACTGTATTTATATTATATTGTCTATACACTTGTAATAATAGATTGTAATGTAAATGTTCCCTTCTTGACCCAGACTCTGTGCCCGGTCTCTGGCAGTGCTCCTGATTAGACTGGGAGCAGTGAAGTGAAAACTCATTATAGACAGTCTAAGCCTCTTAATCAAATCAACACGGACCAAGCAGCACTGATCGCTCCTATCACAGCACCACTAAACCCCCGTACCATTTTAATTACTCAAAAGAAGAGGAAATAAATATATATTACATGCCAGACGAGAATAAAGACGTCTGTGGATTTGGAAATTTAGCGAAAGATTGCAGCTTTAAAGGGACCATATTACACTATTTTCAGGTCTGATTTCTAAAACTGTTTCCTCATCACAAACAGACCTGGAGTTGTTTTTTTAAGTGTTTTTTACGTGTTGTGTTAATACGTTGTTTTCAGGCAAATATAGCATTTTCAAAACAATAAAACGTAATGTGGTGATGTAAATATGTTATGTGTTAACAGTTAGTGCCCCACAGAAGGAAAATACACCCTCTTTAATTAATTATTTGTGTGTTTTTGGCAGAGAAAGTCCATCAGCAGTAGTTTTAATGCCGTGTAAGACTTAATCCACATCTGGACAATTTGTAAAAAGGTAATTAAAAAACATGTTGATGGTTAATAAGGATTTAAAGTCTGATTCTCTACAGATGGCTCACTCTCTTGGCTTGAGTCCATTGATTTAATTATCTGTGTACTTCTCTACTAAGCTATGTGTGTATATTTTTTGGTCTCTGTCAGGTGTTATAGCGTGGCTTAGATAGTCCTAGATGCTCAATATTCATTACAGATTCCGATACCACAATCATTAAAATTCACTTTTTATTGTCTAAATAATAGAATGTGATTTTCATCCGTAAATCATTATTGGTCCATGTAGTTTCCATAGTGGTCCATGGGTGTATACTAGTCTATGTGCGCTTATACTTACATACTATACAGCTCATTCTGAAGACATTCAGGAAAGGCTCATTTCTGTCCTATGAATGGGCATTTTTTGTGTCCATCATGCTCAAATATATGTATGTATCTGGTTTCAATGGCAGTTTTAGTATCAATTAGTATCAGATTTTTTATATTTTTGACAACCCTAGTCCCAATGACCCTCTCTCCCCCATAGACCGTATAAAGAAGTCGACTAAATGAGCATGACGTCACCAGTAAAGTTCGGATCCAGTCAAATGAAGCTCATTGAGGCTGCTGAACAGCTCTTCCTGCACGGTTGGTTTAGCAGGAAGTGGGAACTTAGCAATGCTGTCAATCAAACCTCGGAAAAAGAAGGCTCCTGATTGTCTGTTATTAATGTTCACATCTTGATTTACACAAAAAAGAGCAAAATAAAAACCCCATGATGTTGAGTGGGTTGATATTGTGACCTAAAGTACCCTTTCAATAAATAATGTTTAAAATACTAAAATACAATATCATGAAATACCCAAGGCCACAGATGAGTTTGTAAATAAAAGGAGAGAGGTGACTTTAAAAGATGTAATTAAAATGTATTAAAATGTTAAAGGATGAAGTAAAAATGTTAAATGATTTATCTTATAAAAACCAGGGGGTGCTTAAAACAATAAAAATGGCCAATATTTATTAATAAACTACTAAAATCTGAATAAAATCTTGCAACCTCGATGTCTATTTATAAATACCGTATTTTTTGGACAATAAAACGCACTTTAATCTTCTCATAAATCGTCAGTGCGTCTTATAATCCGGTGCACATTATGTATTAATTCTGATTGTGCTTACTGACCTCGAATCGATTTTATGTGGAACACGGCG